AAGGAGAAGAACGCGAAGAAGATGAACCAGAGGGAGAGGAAAACCCAGACTAGCCAAATCACGCAATACACTGTCTCAAATGAGAAGGGGTGGAAGGGGGAGTTATAAGGTGCGGGCCGGGTCGAGTCGGGTCGGGTTAAAGGGTTTTGGGTTGCGAGTTGGGCTTTGTATTGGGTTGAGCCAAAATATATCTAACAAGATCTCTTGTGAAGAGCACATCACTGACAACTTTCCTGTATATGGCATCCTTCTATAGGGACACTTATGACGTGGGTTCAAATTAAAGCATTCCAAAAATCACGTGTAAAAATATAAATAAATAAAAAATAACAATAATCATCAATGGAAATATGAACCTAGAGCTGACAAAAATAAGTACGGCTTGAATAAATATTTTTATAAATAAATTAACAAATAAATGTACGTCAAAAAGAATTTTAAAAAATAACTTAGAAAATATAAATTACAATCCGGGCTGGCCCGACCCGGCAAGGTTTGAAGTAGGCAGTGCTCGGGCCTGAATTCCTAGATAGACCATAAACTAGGCCGGGCTTGTCCCGGTACAAATTGGAAACGGACCGGGCCAGCCCGAAGTTTCCACCCATACATGAGCCTCGTAGACCGGTAGAGAAGAGACAACATGTATGGGCATTGCAATTCCAACGGTATGTAGAGCTGTTAAACGAACCGAGCCGTTCGTGAACTCGGCTCGGTTAAAGCTCATTCTCGAACGTTAACGAGCCGAGCCGAACAACATAAACAGACTCGTTTGGTTAACGAACGAGCCCGAGCTTTGTTCGCGAACGTTCGTTTAAATAATATATTTATTATAAATATTATATATACATATAAAATTATAATTTATAAATAAATAAAATATTAATTTAAAATATATAAATAAAATAATTTAAACTTTCTTTATAATTTATATATAAATTTTAAAAAATAAGACAAACGAGCTCGAACGAGCTTAATCGAGCCTAAACGAGCCGAACACGAACACGAGCTCAAACAGCAAAAATTCTTAACGAGCCAAGCTCGAATACTACGAACGAGTTCAAAAGCTTAACGAACGAACACGAGTCTTATTCGCGAACGTTAACGAACACTTAAAATTTGACTCAGCTCGGCTCGGCTCGAATCGTTAACAGCTCTAGCTGTTAGTGCGTTGAGCGTATGTTTTCTCTTCATGTTTTGCGTTAAAGTTCACTGAAGGTAAGACGAATGCTCTTTGAATGTTTGGTATACTGATTGGCAAAGTTCCTGATTTAAATCCTTGAATTTAAAAAAATGACAAGTGTGAAATTTCTTTCAACAATATACTCAACATATTTTATTGAGTTTCTGTATAACATCTTTATATAGCAATAGCATTTGAAAGAAAAAATATATATAAAAAAGAAATAATAATTAAAATTTTAATCATATTTCTCACTAAATATATATCATTTTCTTCTTATGAAATAATAAAAATAACTCTCGTTGTCCTGGTCCAAAGGGGAAGTTTTGTAGTAGATTAAGAAATAATAGTATTTTATTAGTCAGTGAAATTGTGTAAAAGATTTTGACATTTTTGTCATTTGACTTTTTGTGTAAAAAATAATACACACTTACGTGCATCATTATTTATAATAAATGCATCATGCAGCATGTGCATATTCATTCTATGTAATGCATTCATTTGCTTGAAATAATGCAAATATAAAATTGTCATGCATTATGTCATGCACGTAGGTGAGTATTACTTACAATCATGCATGTATACAAATGTATTTTCGGGCTTTTTATTATTTTTATTATTTTCTTGGGCTTCGATTTCAACAATATATTTTGTTGTTTCGATTGGTCTCCGGAGCATAATAGACTTTGTCAAGTCTAATACCCAAGTCTTAACCCACGACTACATTATTTGATCCAGGTAAGCAGCGCGCCAGTGGCTTTCTAGCATTTATATGCCTAAACCATATCTTATAACCATTATAAAGCCCACATGCATTTCAACTCACCAAATAATCGGTTTCGAAAATTATAAATTTAATTTATAAATTAAATTCCATCGATTAAATAAATAATCGATTAACCGATTATCCGACATTTTTTTCAGAGGCATCAACTATAGAGCACATGAGCAAAACTAGTAATAATGCTACACATGAAATAATCCCCAACATCGAATTGAAGTGGAAACACATAGCCATAAAAGAATGAAAACAAATAAGAAACAAGGAAAATGCAAATAAAAATAGAAGCATACCGATGAGAGGCATTGTCGAAAAGGTACGATACAAGAATGGTAGAGGATCCCGGCTTGAGCTCAGTGGAAGGACAAAAGGATCGGAACTGTTCAGCCTCTTAACACGCAATTGTAATATAGTCGAAAATATTATGCCATTTGTTTATATATATATGATGAAGTAAGACCCGAAGGGATTGAAAGTTTGAATCCATAAGACCAAGACTTCACAGTCATAAGTTCATTCTACATCACCAGATCATCCCTGTGTATCTTCATTATTTATTAAAAATGATGATGTTAGAATATGAAATTGAAATTTTCTATTTCAATCATAAGAATACGTACATATAAATCGTCTAAATATGACAAGAATCCTATAAATATTTTAAATAAGATAACTACCATAAATATAATATATTGTCTCTAAATATATTTTAACACCCCTCCTTAAACTCAAGATATGATCGAACAAATTTGAGTTTATCAGAAGTGACCAAAAAAGATATAGCCGAAATCTTCCACCCGCCAATTAACCGAGATCGAACAAAGTATATATGAATAATGAGACAAAAGTAGTCATACTTCACTTTCATTTATTTATTTATTTTAAATATTATAAGAGGTAGACATAGTTGGGTCTTATGTCATCTTCTTAAATACATAGATAGTGATGTTCTAATATTTTGATCTCTTGAATTTTATAACAGCATGGTGTTGGACATAAGGTCACCGATCAAATAAGAGGTCCAACATCTCCAAGTCTCACGCAACAAAACTATGAAATGTATTAATGTAAACACAGTTTTACAATATGATTGTCTCGCGGTTGAAACAACAGTGTATATGAACACAAATTAATTGCTGAATAAGCACAAAAAAAAAAAAACAACACACCTAATTTGTTTACCCATTTCGGTATTCAAACTTGCGTATGGGGATACCAATTCAGAAGTTGTTCACTAAATCAAACACTTAGTTTACATCATTCAAGACACCACATAAATTTACTCAATCTATCATCTAGCTAAACTCTTCTTTATTTTACAAACACAGACGAACTGACTGTTACAACGTGACAACAACTCCAACAGATATACCATCATACTAAAAGTAAGATTGATTCCATATTGGTTGTATCCTCTGGTTCTAACTTTTTTTTCTCCTTCTTCACAACTTCAAAACACCACCAAAGTAGCTCTCAACTCTTTGAAACAAGGACAAAATATTTCATTCAAGAAGTGTGTGAAACAAACTTGTTTCACTCACTATAACACAATTTAGAAACACAATGCACACCCAAGACCAAGGCCGATTTGTGTGCATGTTTGGACTGTGTGTACGAGGCATTTTATATCATGCAGGTTGAGTGCAACACACCATCTCCTCTATTTGTCTCGTTCCAACGTACATAAGACACTTTTTGACACAAGAAAAGATGGCTTTCCCAAGTGTCCTGTTTGTGGCAGATTTTTTTAAATGAGTTAAACAGCAGCTGCCACAACAAATAGTAAAGTTGTTAATATTTCAAAAATAGATACAAAAAAGGCTTTGTTTTTTTGCATAATACAACACATGGCGTAAATGTTCATAACATTTTTTTTTTAATTTTATTTATTAAAATTATATATTATGATGAGCCAAAAATCGTACATCAATTTTTATAAGTAAAAAAATAGGTGTCAATTTCTTTTTTTGAAAGATTCAAAAAATATACGTGTAGAGGTAAACACCATATAATATAGATAAATAAATAGTAAGATATAGAAAACAACATCTTAATTATAATATTTTGATAATAAATAATTATTGAAACACATATTTCAAAACTATAACCAAATTTTGTTAATATCGACACAATTTTTTATATCCCGCATACCTATATGACATTCCACACCAATTTTTTCCAAGCTTACATTCATTTTGTCATTCCTATAGATCCAAACTTACGTTGTTTTTGCTATTTGTTTACTATACGAGATTATGTAATCAAGCAATAGCCAGTAGGTAAGAGAATAGAGGGGCAAAAATAAGTATATAGTAGAAAAATTAAGAAATACTCTTAACAAATTCAAATAAAATTAGAAATTGAGGAGGAATTCAAACTGTTTCCTGTGCAAGATCTAACCATTTTTCTCTTTCCTTTTTTTTACTTCTTTTTTCAATATTATTATATAAAATTATGAAAAGTGTTATATTGTTCTAATACATTTATTGAGTTTTTAACTAATTTAATACTACTTCTGTCCATTGCTAATCCATCAATTTACTTTTTGTATGTTAATCTTTAAATATTAATTATTATATCAAAAAAACAGTGCAAATTAAGGAGAAACGACAAAAAATACTTATATTGGTGTCTTATAATTTGTACAAAAAATTATACAAATATAAAGATATTTTTAATATTAAAAACATCAAATGCAAATGGATAGATTGGCGGCAGACGGATGTAGTGTATAGTTTTTGGATGTCACTGTGTGTTCTTCAGTGATATATTTATTTTTGCTTATGGCAGTTTATGATACTTGAATATTTATAATGGAGAGGAGATGATGGGTTGGGAGCACAATCGACTCTATTCCACCATAGGAAATTAATGCTTCATTAATTAACCATAGATTACTGTATTTTCCTACCTGTTGGGAACCCAATCGATCGGTTTCCCTAATGGCCTTATTATGATCTGCTACTATATATTTACACGTCTCAGGACAGGCCCAGAACTCATTAACCATTTGAGGATATAATTAAGCTGCAAAAGAAAATGGAAACCAAATGTCGGGTAGAAGAAGAAGAAGAAGAAGAAAAGATACAGAAAGAAATCTGCAGTGGCATCTCGTCTTTGTTGAGCCCTCCATTATCATTACCACCATGGACTGAGTTGCCAGATGATGTCACGATCAATATCCTCCAAAGGCTCGACGTGCAAGAGATCCTGGAAAAGGCACAGAGAGTGTGCAAGACCTGGTGGAGAGCCTGCAAAGATCCTTCTATGTGGAGGGTCATCCACATTGAATCAATCGTGCTTGCTTTCTTTGATCCCCATAAACTTGAAATGATGTGCCACGAAGCTGTTGATCGTAGCCAGGGACAGTTAATCGACATTACAATTGTGGATTTTGCAACCAATGACTTGATCTCCTACATTTCAAAAAGGTACATATAGTTTTATTTACTATTCAAGTTTTAAATGATTTTAGTATTGATATTTCATAACTTAGTGAAGTTTGTTAGATATTTTAAATATTCAATTTTAGATTTAGTAGATTTATATTTAAATTTGATCTTATCTCTAGATTAGATTACTTAAATTTGATTCTATTGAATTTGTTTTGTATTGTTTATATATAGATTTTTTTATTTTGATAATCAATAAGACAATTTCATCAAAAAAAGTGCCTAAAATTCAAGAGAATTTGAGTTTAATTATTATGCATGGTTGAAGGAGTTTCCCCTTTAATACCTAATGTATTTGATCTTGAGAGTAATTGTCGAAACAGGTGCAGTCATCTCAAATGCTTATCGCTTGTGCGTGGAGATTTTTTGAGCCAAACTTTCATATATGCATTTGAAAATTTCAAGGAGTTGGAAAAATTGCAACTTCTACTCAGTCCAATCTTCCCTGAGGATATTGAATATATCGGCAATTCTTGTCGCCAGTTGAAGTCCTTCACATACTGTTGTTCAGACAAAATGGAGAAATCATGTGCACTGGAAGTTGCCAAAAGCATGCCTAATTTGCACCACCTCTGTCTTATTGGGGACATGATGACTGACCAAGGATTAGAAGGAATTCTCGACAGGTGCCTGCATCTTGAATCACTCGATATCCGAAGATGCTTCAATGTTGATTTACAGGGCAATCTAGGCAGGTGATGTTCTCAGCAGATAAAAGATTTTAAAGGCCCCGAAGAGCCCATCAAAGCTAAAGAATGGCCTTATATGAGTGTCAATATGTATTATTCACTACATGAGCTAAACTTTCCTTCGAATAATGATTCAGGGTCTGATATTGAGTATATTACCGAGGCCGAAAAAACGTGCTTGGTTTTTTTGATGACAGTAGTGATGACTAGTTGAGATTTCACAGTAGCTAGCCTTGTTATAAACTGGTTGTATGCATTCCTATATGAATTTAATGTTTGGGGTATCAAATCATCCATTGTAGGTTATCTTTGATCTCTATGTTACAACCAATTAGGCACTACCATTTTTACCAATCAAAGGGATGTCTATTTCGTAACTTTGCCTGGCATTATTCCTTATTATAGATATCACACACAGGAAGATTGATAGCTTTGGGTGTCTTGGTCACATTATGAATTTTTCTACTCTTGCTAGCCTCTTTCGAAGAGGATAGTACATTCCCAACTCCAACTTATCAATTAACCCATTATTTTATATTTGTTTTTTTTTTATTATTATTATAAAATGATAGAAAGTTATAAAAAGTATCGATCAAAATTCTATATAATATAACTCACTGAAAAAATTTGAGCACAAATTAAATTTGAGTGACGGGGAGAATATATGTATTAATTTTACTCAAAATTATAGTATATAATTATTTATTAATATATAATTATTTTTTTTCCTTTAAAAGTTTGATTATTTAGTTAATCAAAAGTGAAATTAAAAACTATAATATAACGGAATCAAGCAACTAAATTGATTAATCAAAATCAAACAATACAAAAAAAAAAGTTATACTAACATGAGACTAAAAGCAAACAAACATAGCAGACATAGACAATCAAATAACAACAGCACAAATCAAAAGCAAACACATACAAAATTGAGATGAAAACTCACTATTAAAGGTATTGGTATCGGCTTCATTGTTATGGTTAAATTTTGTAACAAAAATTAATTTTTAACAACTTTGAAGTATTTATCACGTTTGTTTTGTACGATTAAATTTTGTAACAAAAATTAATTTTAACAACTTTGAAGTATTTATCATGTTTGTTTTGTTACGAAAAAATTTGTAAGAAAAGGTATTTTTCACGATCATGAAGAATTTATACTCGTTTTTTTATGGATTTATTCGTTAAAAAAAAAAAAAAAAAGAAAAAAAAAAAAAAGATCCAATCCATTACAAATAAATTTCCGACATGCAATTTAGAGGAGTTGACCATCAATTTTTTGTTACGGAAAATGACCCAATAGGGACTTTTTTCTTACTCAATTTTTTTAACAGTCAAATTTTGTTAATTAGTTAAAATAATTAATTTATAATATAAATAATTAATTAATCTAATTAATATTTTAAAATGTTAAATTAGAAATTTAAAAATAAAATTAAGGCATGTAATCATTTTCTAAAAAATATAAATAAATTAAAATAAAATATAAGACGAACAGAAACGACAATAAGATACGACAAATGGGACAAAGAGAATATTAAGTATTGTCGATGACTCTCTTTATTTATAGGGAGAGATGATTTTTTTAGTTTTTAAATTTTGGAATTTTTTAGAAATAATAATAATTTTAACATTTATGTGTTCTCCTTATAAAAAAATAAAATTTATATAACATAAAAAAGCATAATAATCAAAGGCCACAAGCCTTACATAAAATACACAACTAAAAAATTAAAAATCAAAGCAATTAAGAATCTCAAATCATGTAAAAGCAACTTGGCCAAATGCTTTGTTTGGGGGTTTGGATTTTGAGTTGAGCTTTGAATAGTAAAAATTTTGAATTTGAATAGTTGTACGATGTGATCTAAATAGATGTTGACGTGATGTTTTGAATATAAAATTCATTTTTAGTATGATATAAAAAATAAAAGTTAAATGTTTGATTTAATATTTTTTTGAAAAATTTTTTGGATGAATAATAGAATTTTGGTAAAATTCTTCAAACGAATAAACAACTTCTGCCACCTACATCTACAAAACAAAGACAACTATCAAAAGATCAACAAGACAATACAAGCTCAAAAACTATACAAGATCACAAACAAATACTCACACCACTGACTAACCTTCGAGAATTATGTTGTTATTTGGTTACACTTCGACTGCGAGGCCAAAAAGGAAGATCGTTGGATTAAAAATCCTGGGTTAAATGTAATTATTTGGGTTATCCTAAATTAAGTTATTTATAAATTTATTGGGCTTAAATGTATTTAGTAAATTTTAGCCTCCTATGTGTAGAAACCCGGTAACTTATTAATTGGGTGATGAGGCTAATTAATAATAAGGGATATTAATTAGGCTTGTGATCCAAGGTTAGCGTCATTACTTTTCATATCTGATCGTGAAAGTAACGGCAGAAACCTAGCAGTTTTCTCAGAAGAGGTTGCGAATAAGGTTAGATATAATTAACTTTATTTTATTATTTCAACTATTTCAACACGACAGATCTGGATTTAGAGTTTAATTCTTGATAAGTTCCAACAGAGATCTCTCAGCAGGTGTCGAGGAAGGCAGCTATAATGAAGCACAGCGGAAATCTCCAAATCTCCGAAATGATCCAAGTTTGAGTCCGAGTCCTCCTTTGCCGAAGCTTCAGCCTCAAGAGACAATTCCGATTCAAAAAATCCAAAGCCTCCTCTGCAAAATCATAGAAGATAAGATGTTTTTTTCCGACGCAATCGAATTGGCGAAAATGGCCGAGAATTTGTAAAAGATGGGAAACTTTTTTGGCACAGCAGGTTGATCATATTGTTTTTTCCCAATCAATACATTTCTCAAATCATAAGCTTGTATAGCAATTCCTTTGCCTTTGTTGTTTTGAGTGACTTCCATCTAAGCATTCTTCTTTTCATTTAGGGTGTGTTTGTTTGGGAGTTTTGGAATTTAAATAGTAAAAAATTTGAATTAGTGGTATGATGGGATACAAGTAGGCAGTGGTGTGCTATTTTGAATGTAACATTAATTTTTAATATAATACTACCTCCGTCCGGCTCTAAGGGTCTCATTTATTTTTTGTGTATTGATCTTTGAATATTAATTATTATACGAAAACGTAATATAAATTAAGGGAAAAAAAATACTTCTATTAGTACATTATAATACTATTACGATGACATTTGTGCAAAAAATTATACAAATATAAAGATATTTTTAAGGTTAAGTACAATGACGCGAAATGCAAATAAGACCCTCAGAGCCAGACGGATAGAGTGTAAAAAATTAAAAACAGTTATTTGATTTGATGTTTTTTAGAAAATAAATGGTAAATAGTAGAAATCTGATGAAATCCTTCAAACTAACACACCCTTAGGAAATCACGAAGGTTCACCATGTTGTTCCAAAGGCCATTGACCCTCATTGTCCACCGTAGAAGTAGAATTGGAAGCTTAAACTTGAGCCTTACCAGTATCCAGAGCAAAAGGTTGATCCAAACAACCTGAAGATACACAAATAGGATTCACTTTATGGGCATTAGCTCGATACTCCACAAAATTGCGGCCAATGTGAAGGCACTTAGAGCATAACTTTTAGATGTTTTCGAACACCTTTGGGGTGTGTTTGGTTCAAATGAAGGTAGGGAAGGGAAGGGAGTTTAATGGAAAAGAGGGGAGGCGAGGGGGGGGAAAGAATATTAAGATTGTAATAGTGTGTTTGGCTCATATGGAAACGAAGGGAGGGAGGCGAGGGAAAATAGTATTTTTGTATTTGGTTAGGCAAGGGAGAGAAGAAAAAATATAATAATTTTACTATTTTATCTCTATATTGTATAAATAAATAAAAATAAAAGTATTTAATAAAATTTTATTGATTTATTAATAAAACATAAATTTTGATATAAGAATGACGCAGTTTGTTTTAAAATAAATATATACATACTTATATCATATAAATAAAACATAAATAAAAATAAAATTATATATAAGAAAATTGAATCATTTAATAACAAAATAATCATTCTAACATAATTTTAATTTATCTACAATAAATTAGTGTTAAATTAATATAATAGAATTAAAATAAAATTAATTTAATTTAATTTATATAAAATTTTATTTTATAATTTAATTACATTATAAATTTTAAAAATATTATAACTAATTATTAATTATAAAATACGTTATAATATAATTTATGCATAATTAAATACTGATAAAGTAATATATAATATTAAAGATATAGTAATTTTATAAAATAAAAACATAGACATCTTTCTCTTCCCTACAAATTCCCCCAATTTTGACGGAAAAACGACATAACTTCATTTTATATTTCCTCCCCTCCCTTCCCTTCCCTTCCCTTCCCTTCCCATCCCATTTAAAAATTTTAAAAAATAAAAATAAAAATTTGAAGTAAACGATATAATTGTATTTTTTTTCATTTCCTCCGCTCACCTCCCTCCCCCTCCAAATTCCTCAAACCAAACAGACCCCAAAGGTTATCTAAACAAGACCTCTTCGCCGGAATCTTCAACTTCAATTTCAATTGATATTAGGAATTGGCTTGCATACATCAATCTCAACACCAATTCTCGCGTCGGAGATTGTAGAACAAGATGCACCGGCTTCATCCAGCCTCAATAGAGGATTCTTCATTCAGCTTAAACACCGGACACCATTTGAGCACACCATCGAGAAGCCTTTAAAAATGATACTCGTCTCGATCTCAATCTAGAATAGTCTTCCTTGTTAGAGAGGTGGATGAGAATATGATAGAATTGTTCAACAAATTTAAGATTATCAAACGAAAAATGTATTGTGTGTGAGATAAAATAAAATATATATATATATATATATTGCTAAATTAATAATATCGAAATATGTAACCAAAAAAATCCTAAAAAAATTTAATTCAAAATATAAAAGTGATGTACATGAAATGGTCGTAAAGATATGTACGTCCAGATGGTATATATCTTGATTGGAATGGAACTATTGAAGTAACCATATCATATTTGTAGAAACAGATATTTATTTGAGATTAAGGGGTGTATTCAATTGGGATTTTAATAGATCTTTTTATATTTTAAAAATTTTATGGATTTATGTGGATTTAGAAAATCCACAGAGTCTACGTTGAGTTTGATAGATTTTAATAATTAATTTAGATGGATTTCTACGGATTTGATTGAATTTTTTATGGATTTATATGGATTTTGTAGGATTGTAAAATAATTTTTTTGTGAATATATATTAATTATATAAATTTATATCAAACAACAAATTTTATAAATATAATAAATAATTATTAATAAGATAATATTTAATATTAATATATAATATATACGTATATATTTTTTATGTAAAAAGGTTATATTAAAATAAATAAATAAATAATTTACAATTTTTTTAAAAAAATATTAAAATAAATAAATAAATATAAATTAACGGTTCAACAAAAAAATATATATTTAAATATCTATTTCATCGTAATCGTTATGATAATATAGTGTATTCGATAATTGAAAAGAAAAGACGACAGTAATACATATTTATTGTCATAATAATATTTTTTAAAATTATATTTATAATATAAAATATATATTTAAAAAAATTCATAATAATTTGCTAATATATTTTAGTTTTAAATTATTATTTTTATTAAAAATTATAATAATAGTAATAAATATTATTGTATTATTGATCACATATACAATAACAACAATAACAATAATAATAATAATAATTTTAAAAATCCATCAAAATCTGTGATGGTAATAGATTCTTTTTTATACAAAATTTTCACAAAAATCTATTAAAATTCATAGACTTTGAAAGTCCATGGATTGTTGACTTTTAAAAGTCTATGTTGAATACTCAAGATTTTAAATAACTTTTAAAAGTTTTGATTGAATACCTCTAAATTTTAAAAGACTTTTAAAAGTCTTTGATTGAATACACTTAAATTTTGAAAGTCCAACAAAATTCTACAAAATCTATATTGAATACACCCTAGGGCTGAGTTTATTTTATGTTTTTGGATGAAGGAATTTATTTTTATGTTAAGTTTGAAAAGTCTTACCAGTAATGTAAAAAAGTAACATTGTATTAAATTATTAATTTTTTAGATGAATAAATATATTATGTATATTGTCTTAAAATATATATTGTATATTTTTATAATATTTATAGAGAATTATGTTACTTAAAATTAAGTTGATGAACAAACCCTTAATGAATAAGTTTGGATGAGTACTGACACTTTCTTCTTCACAATTAGGTTCTTGAGAGTGTGTATTCAATTGATTAGTATCTTATTACTTAGGCCCGTCTCGATTATTTTTTAAAGCAATTTTTAGTTTCTATTTCTAAATATATACTCCCTTCGTCCCATGTAATATGGGTGTATTAGTGTAGACACGAGAATTTAGGTAAAATATAATTAGTAAGTAATTAAGAAGTGTATTAGTAAAAATAATTATAGATTAAGATTAAGATAAGTAAATAGTTTAATTAAAATTAAGAAAATTATAAAATTTAAAATTTAAAATGCAATTAAAGTGCATAATTATATTTTCAAAAATGGAAAAGACAAATTATGTGGGATGGACGAAAATAAAAAATAAGAATAAATTACGTGGGATGGGAGGAGTATATATATATATATATTATATATGTATTGAAATTTGAAAGTGGCATTTGAAATTAAGAAATGCTATAGTAATTTTTATTTTTTTCAGAAGCATTTTAAGAATGTCTTTTAAAATGAGTAGAAACACTTTAAGTTAATTAAAATTAATATTTACTCTATAATTATAATTTTAATAATAATAATAATAAATTTATATATTATATTTAAACAAAAATTTAAAAATATAATTGTATTTCTGTTTTAAATTTTGTATGTTATACTTAATTAAAATTTAAAATGATAATTAAGATACCAAATTTAAAAATATAGGTTTTTAATTATACTAGAAACAAAATAATTAAATGAAATTTATAAAATTTTAACATAAATTGTAAAGTACAATCGATTTAACATTAAATTATAATTTTATTTTTAATTTATAGACTATATGTCATTCAAATCTATGATCACTTTTCTTTTAAGTGTGCATAAAAAATATTATTATTTCTTTTTTAAGTAAAGTATCATTATACTTTTGTATTTTTTTACTATAAAAAGAAGTAACAATTATTATTTACTTTTATTAGAACTGTATCCAGTTAGATCAGCACATATTTGCATGACGAATGAAGTATTATTTATAAATTAAATTTGAAAATATAGTTACCAAAAATAAAAGTATACTCCCTCCATCGCTGACAAATATACTCCTTAATTTTATAGCAAATTAAGAAATAATAGTAATATTTAATCGGTTATGGAAAGTATGTATAGATAGTTTTGACTATTTTGCCATTTGTGTTTTATGATATATCTAATCATATGTTTGTAATTTAGGTAATAGTTAGTACTCCCTCCGTCCCATAACAAAGTATCCATTTTTCTATTTTAGTTCGTCCCATAATAAAGTATTCATTTTTTTTTTTTAGTAACTTTACTATTTACCTAACATTACAAATACCCTTAGAACTTACAATATATTACACAAATGTCATTACCTTTATATTACACGTACTAATAAGGTTATTTTAGTCGTTTCTATTTTATTCCTACTATATCTCAATATAATACTAATATTTATAAAACTACGTACAAAAAGCAAATTGATATCTAATTATGAGATGGAGGGAGTATTATTTTTACTATAATAATAAGTGAATATTTTTTACTATGATATACAAAAATGATAAAAAAAAAAAAAAAGTATTTTCAGTTGAAAAACATATTCTTTTGTGTAGATAGATAATGGTGTATTTGTTTTGTGGGATTTTAGTTTCAAATTTTAGTTTTAAATACTAAAATTTGTAATTGAAATATTATTTGATGTGACATAAAAATATATTAATTTGATATTTTTAACATAAAATTAAATTTACATATAATATAATATAATAAACAAAAAAAAGTGATATTTCTGAAAAATATAATTAAATATTAAAATCCTACTCTCTCTTTATCTTAAATTATTCTATTTAATATCCTGACACAGTTTAAAATCAGAACAAATATTGGATTAAGTTGAATTTTCAAAAAATAGAAATTTATAAAAGAAAAAAAATACCAACTATTACTTACTTATATTAAAATATATATCCAAAAAATATGAACATATTTTTCTATAACAGTTCATATATATATATATATATATATATATAGATAAAACAATTTTGTAACATGGAAAACATTAAAATGTAACAAGTTCATATATTATCATTTATTATGAACACTACAATGCCTTTGAAATTACTCACTCAAGACCATATTGTACAAACCCCAAGTACCAAAATGTATTGCTACAGCAAATATTTTAGAACAATTTGCCACTCGAGCTTGGGTGAAAATATTCAGGGAAGAAAAACTTGAGTTCATCGTCATCGCTATCGATATAATGATCCAGATCCATCTCACTCGACCTATTAACAACATTCGCCGTAATTTCATCACTGTCCTGAATATTGTTGGAGTCACTACTTGCAGCTCGGGACGAAGATTCGACCATTCCCATCAACTTTCTCTTTTTGTAATTCGCTTTGAAACATGCCTGTCTTAACCTCTTCGTTTTGTCTTCAAGCTGTAAGTCGGGAACCACTTCCATTAATCTCTTTTCGTGCTCAAGACTGCCGATATACTCCTTGAGCTTCCCTTCTTCCTCGTCTCTCCCTAGTTCCTATCAAATAATTGTTACATAGAAAGAGTAATAAGATTAAAAAATTAACCATATGAAATTGCAATGAGAAATCAAATGAATATACATCTTCAACTTGTCAAACTTATTTTAGGGTTTCATACTAAATTAAATGTAACTTATTTATATATTCATGTAATTAATCTTTTTTTTTTTTCTTACAAAAAATGTACTATAATATTTATTTCAATTTTGGTAACAATATCCAAATTAGGGTCTAATTTTTTACCTGGACATTCTTGATTAGGGTTTGGATGCTCATGAGTTTTCTATGAGGCCATCTCTTTATGCCCAACTCGCGGCATCTTTTCTTTAGCAAGGTCAAGCCAACATTAAGTTCGCATGCTGCTTTGGTTATCGGCATATAGAAGTACTGAGAAATGACTTCCTTCGACAGCCTGTTCGAGCTTTTCTCACTAACTTTGGACGGTTCTTTCGATTTTTGAAGGTTTTTCTTGTCTTCTTGTTTAATTGTCTCCTCAATTGGTGCCATCATTCGATTGGCTTCGACTGGGGCCGTCGGCATATAGTTGATACTGCTGTTTTCAAGTATCAATTGTTGCAATGTTGGCTGAGGTTGAGGAAACCCTAAAATCATATCATCAAGAAACCCTAATTCTCCACTCCCAATGTTGGGACTCATGAAAGCTTCTGTGGAAAATAAAATGAAACGATGGTTGGTAAAAAATAAAAAATAAAAAATAATGATTAGATATTTTGTAAAGCTTAAACTACAAATTAGAGATTATGAATTGAATTATAATATACATTCTTAACCACCAAAAGAACAAAAAATGGATAAATTAATTGATTAATACGACATTTAAAGTGTGCCAATCATTTACAAAGAATGCTACCTGCAGTAGAATGTGAGATAAGGTTTTTAAAGCCTAGGAAATATATGATCAATTATAATACAAATCACACATTATCAATCAAACCCTATAAATTACCAAAATGTCTCAGGAGACAAATATTGTGAAAAGAATATTAGGGTTTTATTATAGTTCAGTTTTATGTTTCTAATAATCTCTGTAAATTTAAAATTAGGGTTTTAAAATCCGAAATTTAAATTTGATAAATCATTACATTACATAGACTCTTTATATGAACAACCCATATAAAATTTCCAGAAAACCACTGGGAAAATCAATACTAAACACTAAAAAAATGTTATGTCTTTTCAAAATTTCTAAATTTTTTATATGACATAACAAATGAAACTTTAATTAATGTTAGAATTTTATTTTATTTTATTTTTTGCAGAACATACAATAGTTTACAGAAAATAATGTAATGAGATGATCAAAAATCCATTTCTAATACCAGGATTGAATGAACTTTTCTGCAGAGGAGTATCGAATGGAGCATAAAAGGGATCAGCTTGATTCTGATACACATCGGCCGCCATTGGAGCAGCATCAAGAAGTGCATTCTGAAGGCCATCCCAGTCAATATTCAAATCTTCAAATCCATTGCTGTAAATCCACAAAAAAAACATCGATCTCCAGTCAGTAAAAATAAAAAAATTTAAAAAATAAAGAAAAAACCCATTATAAAAACAGTAAATCAAGAAAATTAAATTGTGAATTACCTGTAATCGAAGGGTTCCATTGGCAATGGTGGAAGTGGATTGCAGAACATGTCTTGAAACTCTTGTTTGGCTGTTACTACAGTTTCATTACCAATGCAACAATTCCACTTTTGAGCATCCATTACGTTCCAAATTAAATTATCCGTTCGATAATTGAAAGTGTAATTACAGGGACAAAAGTGATCAACTATACGAGAAAAAAGACTGCTGTGTTTGTATATATATATAGAGAGTGAGAGAGAGATATAGAGAGAGAGAGAGAGAGAGATTCTTGGAAGTGCAGAAGACGTTGCAAAGGGTGAATAATGATTGTGAGTGGACGTGTGTAATTATGGAGATTTATTGCGTAGCCGCAATAACACACTCTTTACCCATACATGCATCTATGTGTATATGTATATATATATACATACAATCACATAAATAAATAAATAAATTTAAATGTTTATAATTGAAGGAGTAATTGATTGTATCGGATGAAGTAATTAGATTAAAATTATACACAAATTAAATGTTTTAACGCTTCTGATTATATTGTAAAAAAATTTATTGTATAGATATGTTTAATGACATATTATATAAGTTTACACATTTACTTCTACTCGATCTGTCCTAAAATATTACTAGTATTATTTTTATTTTGTTATTAAAAAGTGTTTTTATTTTTTTCAAGTAAAAACTTGTAATATCTATTTTTTATATTTTTTTTCATATAAAATATAATATATACTATTTTCCCAAATCCATTTTATTTATTAACTATTTTTTATTTACGTTCGTTCCATCTTTTTTTTTACAAAAAATAATATACTTTAATAATATTTTAAATTTTATAATCAATAATTTTAAAATTTTAATTAAATTAATTAGTTATATTAATATTAATATTAATATATAATTATTTTTATTAATTATACAATCAATTAAATTCTGGTATCTACCGTAAATTGGACGTAAAGTATGAGTAAAATTGAACATAAAATGTTGGACAGAAAAAGTATTAGTTATTATTCATTTACATTACTATATATATATATATATATATACAAAAGCATTACTCTTAACAGTCTAATTTTTTGTCCTAAATCAAACTATACAGTTTTTTAGGTAATTATTTTTTTTTTTTTTTTTTTTTTTGGTTATAAATTGATAAATTTGTTCTTTATGGTAAGATAGAGATAATACATACTCAAATAAAAATGGTAAATGAATAAAGAAATTATAAACAAAAAGTAAAATTTGTATATATAAAAAAAAAAAATAGAACAATAATTGTTAAATGTTTCAAATAGAAAAGTAGAATATTATTTGACGGAGAGAAGTAATATTGTTTTGTAGGACAAAACTTGTATTTAAAATAAATATATATTTCTTGTTATATTCTAAAATGATTGGTCTTTTGTATTTTCTTTTTTATTTTATTTATTTATTTTTTCTCAAATAAAATTATTATATTTTCTCTCGTAAAAGATTTTATTACATTATATTATTAAAAGAAAAAAATGAACACATAACACAAAAATGAAAAAGAAAAAAATACTATATTTTACTTTAGAAACAACAAAAATTAACAAATATATATATATAGAGAGAGATAAACCCATTATTTTTATTTTTATTTTTATTTTTATTTTTTAATTAAAGTTATGATTTATAATTTCATGTGTGTGTATTAATGCGTGTAGAATATGCGTTTAGGTGATTGGTGGTGAGCGTAAATTTATACATAGATAACACAAAAATTGATTAAAATTCGTTGGAATTTGGGATCTGAAGACCATCAATGGCGGCTACAGATTCCCTTTGTCTAAAATAAATATATTAACGTCAAAATCGAATAATTAAAATATATATATATATATAAAAAATAATAATAAAAAAAAAAGACTGCTGTAAAAAAGTTTTTATCTGAGTGGATCGATTTTGTTCTGACACAAGTAGTATTTAGTAGTAGTCTTTCTAAGACATGGATTCATTTAATGATAATGATCGAAATATGACATAAATTAATTAATTAACTTTATCTTCATTTTCCAAAATTAAACATATAGTGTAAATATTATACTCCTCCCGTCCCGAAACTAAATATCCATTTAATTTTTGTACGTAATTTTAGAAATATTAATATTATATTAAAATATAGTATGAATAAAGTAGAAATGACTAAACTAACCTTATTAGTATATGTGATATAAATGTAATGATAAATTGTAAGGGTATTTGTAATGTTAGGTAGATGGTACAGTTACTAAAAAATGAAATGGATACTTTGTTATAGGACGGACTAAAATGAAAAAATAGATACTTTGTTATGGGACGGAGGGAGTACTTACTTTCGTTCGGCTCTGAGGTCTTATTTATTTTTTGTCTATTAATTTTTTAATATTAATTATTATACTCCCTCCATCTCATATATAAATTTCCATTTATTTTTTACATATAGTTTTAGAAATATTAGTATTATATTACGATATAGTATAAATAAAATATAAATGACTAAAATAACCTTATTAGTATGTGTGACATAAAGGTAATGACATTTGTGTAATATATTATAAGTTGTAAGGTTATTTGTAATATTAGATAAATAGTACAGTTACTAAAAAAAATAGATATTTTGTTATGGGACGGACTAAAATAAAAAAATGAATATTTTGTTATAGGACGGGAGGAGTATTAGAACATAGTATAAATTAAGAAAAATTTACAAAAATACTTTTATTTTATTAGTATCTTATGAAATAGAATGATATTTATATTAAAAAAATATATATATTAAAATACAAAAATATTTTTAATATTAAATAATTATACTCCCTCCGTCTCAGATATCGTATCTGCTACACTGTAGATACGGTATTTTAGGAGGGGTGTAATTAGTAGATAATTAAGAATGTATTAGTGAAAATAATTATTCTATAATATAAATAACTATAAATTAAGATTAAGATAACTAATTAGTTTAATTAAAATTAAAAAATTTAAAATAAAATTAAAGTGTATAATCATTTTTAAAAAAAGAGAGTGACATGATATTGGGACGGGAGGGTAATAAAAAAACAAAAATAGTGGCGCTGGCAATCAATATCGAGTAAAGTAAGATTAAATAAATTATTATAGAAAAATGGAGAAGAGTATATTTTGGCATGTATTTTCACGAAGGTTGAGAGAGATATTGCTTGCAGCAGAAATAATTACCAATTTATTTTTTTTTTAAAAAAAAAAAAAAACACAATGATTTCGAAGTTTTTTTGGGACTGCAGACACAATCAATTTAAAAGATGTAAACTTACATTAATAGTAATTATTAAAAACTATGTAAGATTATATCCAAATCGATATTTTCAAGGCTACAAAAATAGGCAATCAAAACCTAACTTAAAAGTGCCATGTCTGGCCTGCAATGTTTGTTTATTTATGAGGTTTTAGGTCCACAAATTAACGTTGTCGTTCGACAGCTATTGTTTTATTTTTTTTTTAAACACAAATTTTACATTTTTATCTTTCATTGATTTATTATTTTTAATCTCTACCATACAATTAAGGGCAAATTTATCAATTCATAACAAAAAGACAATCACCTAAAAAACCGTGCAAATATACTTTAGAACAATAGAAATTGGACGGAGGAAGTATTATTTATTTTTTTAAGAAAAAAAAATCCTTAAAAACATTTAAATTTTTATTCTTTACTTTTATGTTATAGTGAAATTTAATCTTATTTAAAATATTAAATTATTCTTTTGGTTTCGGGAATTATGAGAAGCATAATTAGTAAATAAATGTATTAGTAAAAATAATTATTGTATAATAAAAATAATTTTAAAATAAGATTATGATAATTCATTAGTCTAATTAAAATTTTAAAAAAATTATAAATTAATAAATTTAAAATAAGATTAAAATGTATAATTTTTTCCAAAAAAAAAAGAAAGTGAAAGAATAAGTGGGACCGAGAGGGTAATAAATATTTATATCAGATCAAACGGTTATTTTAATTCAAAATTTTATTATTCAAAATTAAGTCCAAAATACTCCTACATTTTAATACTCCCTATGTTTCATCTTAATTGTTAGTTATAGTGCATATATAAGAATCTATGCAATAGTATAATGAGTAAATAATTAACAATTATATTAGTAAAAATAATTATTGTATGATATAAATAATTAAAATTAAAATTAATATAAATAATTAATTTAATTATAAAAAACTATAAATTATAAAAATAATTATTGTATGATATAAATAATTAAAATTAAAATTAATATAAATAATTAATTTAATTATAAAAAAACTATAAATTATAAAATTTAAAATACGATTAAAATATATAATTATTTTTTAAAAAAATAGATAAAATATGTGAAACAAAATAAAGAATATATATAAACATATTATTTTACTAAACCATTTATTAATAGCTATTTTATTTTATTTAATTTTTATCTGATAATATAGATTATTGTGATAATTTTCATTAATTGTGATTATGGTTTGCTGCACATTGACTTATTATATATTACTCCTATCTTCCACCAAGATATACAATTTATTTATAATAAACATTTTATTTACTCATAACTTTATTACTTTTATTTAAAAATATAATAATAAGTTTGTCACTATTTTTTATTTAATTTTTAGCAATTTTTTAAATATTTTCACTTTTTTTATTTATCTTACTCTAACCTTAAAATATATTATTTAATAATCTCAATACTCAATCAAATTAATATACATAATTTATAGGACGAGAAAGTATTATATTTTATTTAATATTTGTATATAGTTAATAGATGTATATTAAAAAATAACTAATGCTCTACAATTTTTAAATACTAAGTTATATTATTATTATCATTATCAAAATACAATAAGAATTTAAAATTTCCATATGAAATTTATCTAAATAAATAAGTACAATTTTCACACAATTTAACGTTTAGGGTTTGCTTAGATTTTATTTGAATTTTTATTTAAACAATATTTTGATATGACTTTTTTTATAGAAAATAATATTTCCTTCGTCCCGGTGCAAGATTGTCGTTTACTTTTTGCACGTAGATTTTTTAATATTAGTATTATAATGAATTGTAATGAAAAAGACGAAAATACCCT